CTTCAGGGTGCCAATTACTACTCCATACCACCTTCCTGTTTCACAAGAGGGAGGAATGAAGGTTCAGAAGGGGAAGTGATTTTCAATAGGTTAGCAGAGAGGCAGGGTCCCTTGATTACTCATCCAGTGCCTGCTCCACCTTCTCCTGCCACAAGCATCTGTAACAGAGGAAAAAGCCATCTGGGTGACCTACCATTGATGCAGTGGATGGGATGAAAGACACAGCTGCTTCTTCGTGCACTGTTCACGGGGTTAAGTAGACTCTGGGTGTATGTGATGGCAAACTGAGCTTAGTGCTTCAAGAGGTTGGACAGAAGCTGAACCAAGTTTCACATCAGTACAGATAAAAGCTTGCAAATGCGGTGGTCAGTGGCCTCCCCTTTTGGCCAAGGCATTGTTAACATACAAAATAGAGACAGAGGACCTGGCCTTGAACTGTTTGATACTCTCTATTTTTAATGTAGAGTCTTCACATCCATCTCAATACTGTCTTCTTCTTTTAAAAAAAGATGTATATGTTTTATATATATAATATATAAATATAATAATATATATATATGGGGGGGGGAGGAGAGACAGAGAGGAAGATTTTCTGTCCACTGATTCACTCCCCAAATGATCACAATGGCCAGAACAGATCCAATTTGAAGCCAGGAGCCAGGAGCTTCTCCTGGGTTTCCCACATGGGTGCAGGGTCCCAAGGCTTTGGGCTGTCCTCTACTGTTTTCCCAGGTCACAGGCAGGGAGCTAGATAGGAAGTGAAGCAGCCGGGATTAGAACCAGCACACATATGGGATCCCGGTGCTTGCAAGGTGAGGACTTTTGCCACTAGGCTACCGTGCCTGGCCCTGCTTGATACTCCTTACATGGCACAGTGCCACTGAGCCTCAGACCCCTCACCTGCGCACTGTGCATATGTTGGCCTATTAGAACTAAAATAACTCTTTTCCCCAAGAGTTCTTTTATCTCTAACCTTCTCCACTTCCACGATTCTAGTGCAGGAAACATGGGGAGGGGAGGGGGAAAGCACATCAGGCATTTGTGTCCTATAGTGATGGCAAACATTTGTTTTCCAAAATGTATCCCAGGAGTCAACAGATTTAGCAATAAAGATGCAGCTTAAAAGGATGTTCAAAAGGGTGAAAAGTTCCCAAAGAAGAACCTGCTAAGACCCTTGAACTACTTAAGTTGTCATTTATAGCAATGTTTCCACATAATGGAATTGCTTTGTTTCTGTTTCACGCCCATCCTTCAGTATGGCAGATGGTTTACAGCAGCAAGGCTTCTCAACGAAGGGTCACGAATGGAGCAGTCATGGTAACAGAAAGGTGATTTATCTTTAGGCACTGAGAATCATTTTCACTTCATTTTAACTGCGGTCTGGGGCTGACATTTCAGAATATTCTCCTAGCTTTGCTCCCCACAAACAAGAAGTCCTTGAAAAGCTGTGTGCATCATTTGTTGATTGCCTGTTGGGGCTCAAATAGAGGCCGGGGCAACACCTCAGTGGTTTCAATTTGTGCCTGGGAGGAAGAAAAGTTGCTGCTGGGGAAACAGCGGGAGAGGGGAGGGAAGGTCGTTTTTGAGTTATCGGAGGGGCAAGCAGTGCAGTGGAGTAACACAGCAGTCTATAACGAGTGCAAATAACCCTCAGTCCAGCAGCAGACAGTACAGGATGAACTCAACGGCTGAATCTGGAGCGGCTGCCACTCGCTTGCCATCCAGCAGTGCCGTTGCTGCCCTCAGCTGGTCACATGTAGGTATTACGATTCAAAACAGCAGAATGTATCCATTCTATGTCATTGTATTCTGGGACGTGATAAAACAGCCCAGAAATCCACAAGTCTCTTTTGAAATATTGCATAAAATTTCAGGCAGGTTCTTAGACCCTGGTTCATGCAGACCAGTCGGTGTAACAGCCTAGCTCGGCATGACCTGTGCTCCAGCCTGATTTTTTTTGCTTGGCCCTGCCTGATCTACCCCCTTCCAGTTGCAGCCCGGCCCACGCCACATCCTGTTTTAGGATGCACATTTAGGTGCTGCTGCCTTGACCTGCCTAGACTGTTGTCAGTTCCTTTACCTGTAAGTGAGGGCAGGTTCCATGGTCACACCTAGCTCAGCCCATTACCACCTGAACTTGTGAGCTAAGCAGCGGGACTTGTATTTCCTCAGGGTTGGGCCCACACTTTCCCCACAGAATCTACCCTCAGACCTGATTCTCTCACATGCTGGTTAGTGTCTTGACCCTGCTGAGTGTGACCCATTCCCTGTTCCACCACTCAGTCAGGTGCGGGGACCTAGCCCTGCTAGACAGGCCCCCAGCCATAGCTTTCGTGTGGACTGGTGTGTGGCAGTCAGTGATGCTCTGCACTAACAGCCCATCTCATGATCCCCATGTGGGCTGGTGCATCAGTGTGGCCCAAATAGATTCTATGAACTCTCCCCTCCAAACCACCACGTCTCAGTCCCCACACTTGCCAGAAATTTCCGTGACCCCGTCACTGGGAGTCACACAGGATTCATCTCTCACCTGCACTCGCCCTGGGCTTTTCCATGATGTCCCTTAGGCAGCAATTACATGCCCTAAAACCTCCAGAGCTTGCCACCAGATGACCAGCAGGCAGAGCTTGTGCCCAAATTGGTGCACTGTCCGCCCAAAGCCTAGGACTTTCTCACCACTTGGCAGCAGTGACCATGTCTTGAGTCCCAAGCATTGAGTCCGGCCTGGCTGTGGCACCCCCTGCAGGAGCCACACTGCAGGAGGCTCATTTCGCCCCAACCCCACAACCAAACAGTGCCCTGGCTCTTTCTGCCACCAGATGATAGCGGCAGGCGGAGCCTGGGCCTTAATCCAGTCCCCAAGCTTCCCTCATGGTGTACTTACCCTGAGGGAAGAAGTCTCTCTCGGGGCTGGAATCTTCTAGGACTTGGTCACCACGTGGCAGCAGGGACCATGGCCTGAGTCCCCAGCATTTGGTCCGGCCTGGCTGGGGCACCCTCTGCAGCAGCCAGCTTGGGGAGGCTCCTTTCGCCCCAGCCCCACGGCCGAACCTTATGTCATTTTTTTAGTACTATTCTTTCTTCATTTATGATGTATGTGACATGCACATATGTGAACTCTGAGAAGTGATTGGCCAATGTTTCTGCGTAGAACTCCTCATGCCCCCACAAAGAGCATTACCCTGTCACCTGTCGTTCTTGGGGTAGCCCTGCTTGATCTTGCATTTCTGCTCCAGAAGGAAACACACCTCCTTACTTATGATCATCCTTTCCTTGATTTATTATCCCAGCTGTGCATCCTTGCGTGATATAGGATAGTAATGTCTGCTATTGGTAGTTATGTGAGTGAAATGATTAAATATTCTCGTACTGTATCTTGTTTCTTTCACTCCAAGTTATAAGATTCCTAACTATTGCTCTGTGTAGTGATTCTGCCTATGTTTTCATGGCTACACTAATATTCTATTGTGTGAACAGTCTACAATTTATTGTCTCAGACCTAGGAAAGTGATATGCTGTATTGCTATCATAATTGGAACTGGGTCATTATAAAAATGCCTCCCTTTAACTTTTGTTGATGCAAGTAGCGGAGTACCGACAGGGACGCGTGGCAGGCCGAGGAGTGCAATTAAAGTGCGATCACTGAAAATCAGCAAGAAGTTAGAAAAAGTAGAGCAACGGAAAGTCAAGGCAAACAGAAGGAAGAAAAAAAAAAGGACAAAAGTAAAAATCAGGGAAAGAAGCAATCACACAGCAGGAAGAATGGAAAATAAGATCTGGATAAATAATAAAATTGGTTAAATTATGCTGAAATTGGTAAAACAATAAAAGGAAAGTATTCTTGCAGCAGGAAAAATTGGAAATCACCCAGAATGATGAACACACCCCCGAAATGGTGTTTATTCAGTGGCAGAGAATGGTCAGCACTCTGATCACACATTCAAACAAACACCACAGCTGGGGAAGAGCCTGACATAAACAAACAAATAAAAACCCGCCAATGAACCAATGACGGGCACTGAGGAGGACACTCTATCTCCACGTGGTGTGGCTGATGAGCACAATCAACCTGAAATTATACATGAGAATAATCACAAAATTCCAACTTGAAGGACTTGCTGTGAGACAATTGCATGAGATTTTTTAACTTAAAGATTTATTTATTTTTATTGGAAAGGCAGATTTACAGAGGGAGGATGGTACATAGAGGTCTTCTGTCCACTGGTTCACTCCTCAAGTGGCTGCAACAGCCAGGGCTGAACTGACCCGAAGTCAGGAGCCAGGAGCTTCTTCCGGGTCTCCCACACGGGTGCAGGATCCCAAGGCTTTGGGCTGTCCTCCACTTTTTTCCCAGGCCACAAGCAAGGAGATGGATGGGAAGTGGAGCAGCTGGGAAATGAACTGGTGCCTGTATGGGATCCAGGTGCTTGCAAGGTGAGGATTTAGCCACTAGGCTATTGCTCCAGCCCCAGGAGACACTTATTTATCCTAGAAATTGTAGGATATACCAAGATAATGTGTTATGATGAGGAAGGATTATGATTCAGCAAATGTCTTAATTTGATTTTTGTGTCTAAAAGAAGACACCTGTAACTTACAATGGAAAGAGGTTTATTTAGCTCACACTTCTGGAGGCTGAAAAGTCTGAGATTGGGTGGTTCCATCTGTTTAACCTCTGGTGAGGGTCTTCTGGATCCATCACAACATGGCAGATGTTGTGAAATGCCAGAATCCTGAAGCTTTCCTAGGGTCTCCTATTTGGGTTCAGGGAATCAAGGATTAGGCTGTTTTCCAGTACTTTCCCAGGAACATTAGCAAGGAGCAGGATTGGAAGTGGAGCAGCCCAAATCATGAACTGGTGATCATATGAAATGCTGGGCTTGCAGGCAGAGGCTTAATAAGCTATGCCACAATGCTGGCACGGCAGCGTAATTTGAAACTGCAGTGAACTGGGGCGGGAAAGGAGACAAATGCAGGGACAGAGGAAGCTGTGGGTGGGAAGAAACTGGAGGGCAGTAGCTGGGCCACACATCCTGGGCTCCAATGTAGCAGCTGCCTGTGCGGTAGAAGATGCTGGATTCCACCTGTGAAGCAGAGCAGTCAGGGCAAGGATATACCTGCAAGGCCTGCCCACATGCCTCCTAAATGCCAGGGTTGTGGCAAGGGGTGTGCAATGTACGACACTCACGTTACAGCCTCTGAAACTTCTCAGTGAGGGAACTCATGGCCTCTGAAACAGACACACAACACGGCCCTTCAGATGTTAGCCTGTGGAAACCTGGTCCCATGCCCCCAAGGAGGAGGGAAAGGACCACCTGGCCCTGCCACCTACAACCCCTCCAGCCCATCCACACAGCCTGGGGCAGACCCACCCATCCATCACCTGAGTTCCTTGCAGAGACATCTTCTAAATGGGAACAAAACAGACCAGTCGTTCTCAAATGTCGGGTCATACCAGGACCATTTAGCACATTCAAAAGTAAGTCAACACAGGAAAAGCCACATACATCACAGCAAGCAGCACTTCAGGGAAACACATGCAATAGCTCTAAGCATGCTAAAGAAGGAGGTCTCTGGAACTCTTGGGCAAAGTGCGCCCGTAGCTCAGACCATGCGTTTCCCCTTATGCTCGCCTCTAGTTGTAGGTCAGGTGTGTGGAACCTCTGGTTGAAATCATTTGATCTGGCCCAGCCAAGGCAACTTCAGGAGGGACTTAAAATTTAATAAATCTGTGGCAACCTCATGTTTTCAGTTGATAATTTTGTGTGTATATCATTTGCAAATGATTTTGTAAATATACAAATGGACCTTGGCTGAAAAAAAAAATCCCCCTCTTGCTGTAAATTCATGAAAGCATTCAGAGGCAGGCCTCTTTGGTTTTCTTCCCCATGGGAACATGGAGAGAGAGAGAGAGAGAGAGAGAGAGAGAGAGAGAGAGACTTCCTCTCTCCTCGTCCACATCCTTGGCAATTAGATCTGGCACCTCCCACAGCCCAGTGGCCACGCTGGGTTGGAATCCTAAATGGAAACCAGGAGCTTTTCCTCCTTTGGTGTGAGATTGTGAGTAGGGAACATATGTGTCAGTTGGTCCAAGGACCTAGTGAGCTCCCTGTGCACCTGCCTCTATCTCAGCCTCCTTCTATACCTCCTGCTCCACGCTCATTATGACACCTTGAATCATCAGCATCAATGTCTCCTCACGCATGGTTTTTTAGTATTCCTAGAATTGTTTGGTGTTTTCCTTTCCTCAGTTACAGTCCTCTGAGTAACTGGCCATCACTTTCCTTACGCGAGGACCTCAGCATAGTAATGATACATCCTCCATGTATTGTTTCTGTGACAGCCCCAGCTCTCGCCGGTGGGTGCTGCAGCGTAGCCCAGCCTGGCACACCCCCAGCTCGTATGTGAACTGGCGGGTATTGCGGTCCAACTTAGTCTGGCCCATACCCTGTCCTGGCTTACACACATGCCAGTGTGCGCTGTGGACTAACCCTGCCTGGTTTGCCCCTAGAACCAGCTTACACATGTGCCAACTGCTGCTGCTGCTCAGCCTGGCCTAGTGTGCTTCATACCCCAGATCTTGTGCCCACCAGCTGGACTTGGGTCTAGCAGGGAAGTTCCTAAGTTTCCCCACCAGGTCCGGATCCCAGCCCGATGACGCGTGTGTCATCAGGTGCTGCTGCTTAGACTGATATGGCTGGCCTCCAGTGCTGGCAAAAACTGGTGGGTACTGAGCCCAACCCAACTGGCCCACACCCATTTTGGCTCCTACTGCCGGGTGCTACAGCTTAGCTCAGCCTGACCCACCCCATGACCTGGCTATCACATGACTCGGCAGGTGCCACAGTCTAGCCCGGCCTATGCTACACCCGTTCTGGCTCTCATGAACATCAGTGGGTGATGGAGCCCAGCCCAGTTTGGCTCACCCACAGACCTAGCCCACATACATGCTAATGGGTGCTGCATCCTTATGAATCTGGTCTGCTCGCAGCCCTGGCTCTCACTCTCCCCAGTGGGAGCTTCAGCGTAGCAGGGGAGTCCCCAGAGTTTCCCTACCAGACCTATTCCAAGCATGGGTTCTTGCATGTTCTGTCAGGTGCTTTGACTAAGCACTCATTGCTGAGTGTTGCAGCCTAGCCCAGCCCTGAGTGGTCTACCCCCGTCCTAGTTCTTGTCCTTGTCAGCAGGTGCTAAGGCCTGGCCAACCTGGCCTGTCTCCAGACCCAGTCCACATAAACGCTGATGGGTACTGCAGCCTTGCCTTGCCTGGCCTGCTCCCAGCCTCAGCTCTTGTGTTTCCCAGAGGGAGCTGTGAACTAGTAGGGGAGTTCCCCATGTCCCCCTGCCAGGTCTGTTCCCAAACCTGGATCTCATGCATACCAGCAGAGGCAATGCCTCTGCTTGGCATGGCCTACCCTCAGTTCCTGGCCCATGCGTGTGCCAGTGGGTGCTGTAGCCTGACTCCATTCAGCCTTCTCCCAGGCTCAGTCCCCACAAGTGTCAGGTGGGCTCCTGTCAGATGAATTCTGTGGTTTAGCCGGGCTCAGCCTGTTACCACCCCAGCTCTCCACATGAATTATCGGGTGCTGCAGGTACAGATCCGGTTCTTTCATGTTTTAATAGGTGCTGTGGCCTAGCCTGATGTGACCCACCTCCTGCTCTGACACTCATGGACAGGTACTTCAGCGTGGTCCAGCCAGGCATGACTCCTAGCCCCAGCTTTTGTGAGTGCCAATGGGTAGCAGGTGATGCTATTTAGTGCAACCTAGGTCTCCCATGTGAGTTGATATCTTAGCCTGACCTGAACATGCCCTCCGGTTTCCCTTCTCTAAAGTGGCACTGCAAGCTTACTCATAGTGTGAGCAGCAGGACTGCCTGCCCTTCCTCAAGTGAGGACAAAATTGATCTGTGACCCCACCAGTGCAAATCAAGTCTGATGTGTTGGGAGGGAGAGGTGAAGGACGCAATGTGGTTTCTCAGAGTAAAGTTAATTGTCCAGAGTTCTGCCAGCTCCCCAAACTAGGCTCAAAGACGGTGAGGAACATGAAATTTTCTCTTAGTCAAATGTGCCATTGGAGGGGGCTACAGCAACCTTTTCTTGCCTTGTCCTGGAAAGACGGAATTTCTCAGCTGCTCAATCCACTGTATATCACAACATTGTGCAACATTGTGTGGTTTTTAATTGTAGCAAACCTTGAATATGAAAACTGATATTTGATTCATACCTTAAAAATGTAATGGTGATAAGCATGTTTTTTTCTTAAAAGATTTTGTTTTATTTATTTGAAAGGCAGAGAGAGAGAGAGAGAGAGAGAGAGAGTGAGAGAGATATCTTCCAACCACTGGCTCACTCCTAAATGGCTATAATGGCCAGTCCTGAGCCAAACAGAAGGCAGGAGCCAGGAGTTTCATCTGAGGTTTTCTCTCCTGTGCGGCAGGGGCATAAACACTTGGGCTATTTCCATTGCTTTGCCCAGTTCACTTAGCAGGGCACTGGATTAGAAATAGAGCAGCCGGGCCTGGTGCCATGGCTCACTGCCAAAGTCTTCACCTGCAAGTGCCAGGATCCCACATGGGCACAGGTTCTAACCCTGGAAGCTCCATTTCCCATCCAGCTCCCTGCTTGTGGCCTGGGAAAGCAGTCAAGGACGGCCCAAAGTCTTGGGACCCTGCACCCGTGTGGGAGACCTGGAGGAAGTCCCTGGCTCCTGGCTTCAGATTGGCTCAGCTCCAGTCGTTGCGCTCACTTGGGGAGTGAATCAGAAAATGGAAGCTCTGCCTTTCCAATAAAAGTAGATAAACCTTTGAAAAAAGAGAGAGAGAGAAAGAAACAGAGCACCTGGAGGATGAACTGGCACCCCTATGGGATTCCATTGTGAATGACGGCTTCACTTATTACGCCACAGCGGCAGCCCCGATTAATAGCTCTTGGTGAGTGTTGTTGAACATAGGGACGCCCGCTTTTATAAATAAACTTGAACTGGAAGAAAGTCGGGAAATGGGCATGCTAAAGCTAGGCAAACTGCCATGCTAAGCGATCAACCCATCAGTTCAAGGAAGAGAGCACGCCATTAGACCTGAATTGATCAATCAGAAAGCCTCTATGAGCCCCGGAAGGTGTGTACAGAGAAGTCTCGCGTTGTTTAAGGGCCCCCCATCCCCACCTCTTCCGGTGACCCCTATGCTCACGCATGCGCCAAGAACTCATTGGGCTTTCCACGCCCCCGCCCGTTCTTTCTCTGCGAGGACTTCAACCGAGCCGGACGCGTGTATTCATTCCGGTCTGTGCAGACTTGAACATGAGCGCCCACAGTAAGGCGTCTTGGTTTAGCGAAGGTATCAGGCAGAAGAGTGAGGAGCAGGCTGGCCCTGACCTTCCTGGCGCCCTGTGGGAATCTGGAGAAGGCATGTGTTTGGGAACGCCAGGAAGCGGTCAGGGTCAGGGCCAAGGCGAGGGGGAGAGCGGGCCCTCAAGCCTAGAGGCCTTCAACTTGCAGCTGGACTCGGACTCTGGATGCGAGTCCGAGTGTAAGCCGGGAATGATTCAGGTAGAAGCTCCCAGGCCTTGGGGCTGGAGCGTTGGACCACACCAGTCCACCCCTGAAGGGAAGGGCACTGTAGATTCCATGTTCAAGTTTGCTACAGCGTATGCAGCTGTGGTGCACATGCTGACTGATCCGAGTGTTGGTGCCCTGCGCAGATTTCAGAGTGCAGAAAATGGTGCCACGAAAGTGACCACCGTTTCGGCACCTGTCGAGGAGGACCCCAGCAGTAGAGGTGCTGTGGGCAGCAACTATGCGGCATCGCTGCATGCTTCTGCTGCTCCTCATGTGAGTGCTTCTGAGGAAGACCACACCCAGGGCCTCAGGAAGAGAAGTGTCAGACGACGCATGAACATCACTACCAGTACACATGGCACCTGCGGTACAAGCCTGTTGGGGCCGTCTTCTGATGACCTTGGGAACCTGCAGGCCGTAAGGGTGAGCATTTACCAGAAAGCAGGAGGCCAAGTCAGGGGCAACAGTTCAGAGGAACCACCAGAGTCCTAGACACTGGACTTTCCATGGCAGGGATAATTCCCCCCACATTTATGGCCCTCTCTTGATCTGTACTTTCCAGGTTCTCACTGGGGCCATGGTAAAGCAGATAGCAGAAGAACTGGGTCCCTCTTCCTCTAAAAAAAAAAAAAATGCATAATGTGGTGTCTGGGGAGGCAAGGGCTATACACAGCCATCCATGAACTACTGTTGCTGCTGGTATAGGACGCCTGCCCTGTGTTTTTCCTAGGAGGAAGCCAGGAGAAGAAACCCCCAGGGATTGCCCCCAAGTTGCTACTTGGAACAGCCTTTGCCCCATGGGGGTACAGCCCCTTCCCTACAATATTTGCTGTTTCACTGCTGAGAAGCCCAGCACATCTTCCCCACTCCCTTGGGGACCAAAACAATCCAAGCAGGGAAGAAAGGGGGCCAGAAGGAATAGAGAATCCCAGGCTGTGGTCAGAGAAAATGATGACCGGAATAGAGATCATGTCACAAGGCTATTCCTCCTCTGCTTTCTCTTACTGTTCCTTTGCTTTCCCTTTCCCCTCTCTTCCAGCGTATACCTCTCTAGAACTGCAGATTGGGTTGCTAAGTTGTGTTTACTTTTTCTTACACTCCTAAGTCCTCATTCCTACCTGCTGCCTAAGCCTGTCTGGAGAGGGGACCTGTGCTTCTCAGTACTCCTACTCTTCTCTCTGGCTCAGTTCTACCTTTTGGCCTTAGTGTGAGAAAGACCTGATAGGATGATCCTATAATTCTCCAAAATTCATGACCTCTGCCTTATGCTGGCCCCCTCTTACACAACCCACGTTGTGAACTCTAACCCAACTCTATGAACTTCTTGCTTTAGGTGATTACACACAGACCAGTGGTGCCTTATTGGCACAAACGTCGTGGAGAATTCAGCAGAATATACCAAAACATTCGAAATCTTCAAGTTCCAAAAAACTCAAAATCTTTGTCCCGGAGCCAGAGAGGTATCATGACCACGGACCTGGCACTGTCTGGTGAGTCCAGTGGGTTTGATTTGAGTGCAGCAGAGAGAGAGATCAAGGAGGGAAACCTCAGATTCTGTCTTTTTGGGGGTCTCAGCGTTGGTGCCATTTCCCTGCCTGTGTAGGTAGCTCTCTCATAGGAAATTGGGTGTTAATAGAGCTGGCCTTAAGTTACACCATCCTCTGAGTATGGCCTGTAAGTTGGTAATTGTTGCAAAACCAAAAACAGATGATCAATGGAACAGAGCTTTTTCTGTTAAGCCCTGCACAACCAGATGGCTCTTGCCAAGAGCTGGCTGTGAGTACTGTTCTGTTAACGACCCAAATTCACCATCCTAGGGGGCTGTTGCCAGTGAGGGACTGGGAAGGCAGGTCCAGGGAGAGGGCAGAGCAGTAACAAGTTACTGTTAGCAGTAACTAGTGTTAGACCCTGCCAGACCTTCTACCTCATTCCCAGACTGGGAAGCTGGTTTTTGCATTCTCTTTCAGGCAACAGGGGATCATCTGTCTATCATCCGAGAGTAAGGAGGACCCAAACACAGTCTGGAATCAAGAGTTATCCTCAGGTAATGCTGTCTGTCTCCTAGAAATGCGGGCCTAACAAATGGGGACAGAGGGTGGGAATCCATATCCAGATCAGACTGACTCCTGTGTCTCCTGCTCATTACCCTACACAATACAGAGTGTGACTCCTTTCCATTTAGAATCCCAAGCCAATATGGCCTCTGGGCTGTGGCAGGTGCCAGGTGTAAGGACAAGGGGGTGTGCTTAGAGGTGGGGAGGCATAATATACTCATCATTTCTCTTTTTTTTTGGTGACTGCTACTTTTTCGTGTTTCACCACAGAAAGAAGTAGATGATCTAAGAGAGCAACTAGGTAAGACACATCCTGGACTGACCTGGGGCTAGGGTTAAAGCAGAAGAAACAGTCTTGATGCTGGTGGCAGGGTGTGGAGTGTGGCTAGGTTGCAGGTGCGGGCAGCACCACTGCTACCGTCATTTTTTCTGTGGGGAGGAGAACCAAGCGAGCCTGGCTCTGGAGCCTTGTGTGCATTTATAGCTAGGGCGAGCATAAGAGGAAACGCATGGTCTGAGCTACGGGCGCACTTTGCCCAAGAGTTCCAGAGACCTCCTTCTTTAGCATGCTTAGAGCTATTGCATGTGTTTCCCTGAAGTGCTGCTTGCTGTGATGTATGTGGCTTTTCCTGTGTTGACTTACTTTTGAATATGCTAAATGGTCCTGGTATGACCCGACATTTGAGAACGACTGGTCTGTTTTGTTCCCATTTAGAAGATGTCTCTGCAAGGAACTCAGGTGATAGATGGGTGGGTCTGCCCCAGGCTGTGTGGATGGGCTGGAGGGGTTGTAGGTGGCAGGGCCAGGTGGTCCTTTCCCTCCTCCTTGGGGGCATGGGACCAGGTTTCCACAGGCTAACATCTGAAGGGCTGTGTTGTGTGTCTGTTTCAGAGGCCATGAGTTCCCTCACTGAGAAGTTTCAGAGGCTGTAACGTGAGTGTCGTACATTGCACACCCCTTGCCACAACCCTGGCATTTAGGAGGCATGTGGGCAGGCCTTGCAGGTATATCCTTGTCCTGACTGCTCTGCTTCACAGGTGGAATCCAGCATCTTCTACCGCACAGGCAGCTGCTACATTGGAGCCCAGGATGTGTGGCCCAGCTACTGCCCTCCAGTTTCTTCCCAGCCACAGCTTCCTCTGTCCCTGCATTTGTCTCCTTTCCCGCCCCAGTTCACTTGCAGTTTCAAATTAAAATACCTGTCATGTTCTGTGCTCTGCCCTCTCTGGGGTTTGAGGAACTGCCCTGTGTCAGAGAATGTTAAAATCAGTTCCTCTGTTTAGTTTGTACCACAATAAAGTTATCTTTGAATTGCAGTTTATGTGGTGTACTGTTGTAATCTTGGCCTTATCTTCCTGCTTGTCCAGCATGGCTTAAGTGTCTCTCTAGTGGCACTGTGTACATGGACACAGTTTAATTTAGAAGTTTTGTATCATCCTTAGTTCCTCCTCAGTTTTTCCCTCTCAAAGCCACTTACCAGATGCTGAGTTTCAGTGGAAAAATGGAGGCAGGGACATATCCCAATGGGTGGTAGAGCAAAAGGGCAGGTATAGAACACACAGGAGAAAAGAGCAGGTTCATCTCCATGTGAGTGGGGGACATGAGTCTTCTGGTGCCTTCGGACCAACTCAGGGAATTATATCCCCCAGCGGCTAGAGTGGGTAGTCTGATGATCCAGGCTTCCACTTTTCCAAATCTTAACCAATCAGCTGGTTCTCTGGTGTTTGGAAATGGCCAGTGTCCAAGGAAAGTGTGAATGATGGGTCTGCGTGTTCTTGATGGTCCCTTTAAATAATATGCAATCACTCTGTGACACAGTGTTCCAGCACATGAGGTTTGGGAGTCTCAGCTCCCTTTTGCAGACTTCTCTTCAAGGTCTCTTGAGACTTGTCTGTGCTCCTTGTTCTGATTTCACCCTGCGTGACACTTGGTGTGGCTTTCTTCTTTTAATCAGGGTCTAGAGCAGGGTGGGTGGGTCTGAGACAAAGAAGGACAGATGGATGTTTGGGTTACATGAGTATGGCTTCTGCTAGCTGCCATTCCTGATACATTGTGTGTTTGGTAGACCAAGCAGACAAAGGAGGATACGGTCATGGGCACTGGAATTGACTTTGTTGTCAGTGATAGACTGCATGAATGATGGTGGATCCTTAAGGCTATCATAGGACTGAAACCTTCCTCTCAATGACTTGGTAGCCATGGTATGAAAGTACAACGCATCATTCACTTGAGATGATGCTGGTGTAAACAGACCTTCTACACTGCTGGTCTTACACAGTGATAACAATGGTCTAACACTTTGATATTAACTTGTGTATATGTTTAATATTTACTTATTATTTTTGATGATTATATGGTTGACCAAGGTGGGAAAGATTGAGGGTTAGGGAGAAGTGGGTGAAATAATTGTTTCCAAATTCTCTATTTCTTTTTGTCTCTGGGGGAAGGGGGAGATAAAGGGTGAAGCCACACCCAGCCTCCCAAATGTCCCAGTACCCAGGAATGGGGAACCGCCACCCAGTATCAACCCAGGGTCCCTCTGTAGTGCATGTTCTAATCAAGTGGTTTGGATAGTTCTGAAATGCTGTCGATTTTGCCGATCCAAGGGTGAGGCAACCCTCCCAATGCCCATTGGCTGACATGGTCGACCTCAGTTCTCCATTCATCCAGATTTGTACTGTCATTGTTTTCTGAGATAGTTGTCCAATTTGATCTGTTCTCTTTCCTCTGTGACGGTACCAAATGGGTTACTTTATTCTCCACGTGTGTCAGGGTCTGCGTCCACTGCTCCACCTTCCCCCTCCTTGGGCAGGTTGAAGGACCAGGGCAAGGTGACCTGAGCCCTGCTGGATCCCTCCACCCCTGGGTCTCAAGAACCCGGTACCCACCTTGCACTTGGACCTCAAGACCTGGGTTAGGTGACCCAAGCCCCGCCTGATCCCCCATCCCTGGGGCTCATGAACCTGGCACCCATCTCACAGGTAGGCCCCAAGACCCGAACCAAGTGTCCCAAGCTCTGCTGGGTGCCCCTGGGCTCATGAACTCAGCACCCACCTTGCAGATAGGTCCCAGGACCTGGACCAGGAGAACTGATTTCCGCTGGATTCTCCACTCTTGGGACTCACAAACCCAGTATCCACTTTGCAGGCAGGTCCCAGGACTGAGGCCAGGTAACTTGGAGTTCCACTGAATGCCCTGCCCTCAGGGCTCACAAACCTGGCACCCGCCTCGCAGGCAGGCTCCAGGACTTGAGTCAGGCGACCTGAGCCCTACTGGATCCCCTACCATGGGGCTCATGAACCCAGAATACACCTCACAGGCAGGCCCCAGGATCCAGGCTTGTGGCCTAGGAAAGCAGTGGAAGAGGGCCCAACTTCTTGGGACCCTGCACCCACATAGGAGTCTCAGAAAAGGCTGCTGGCTCCTGGATTCAGATAAGCTCAGTTCTGGCTATTACAGCCATTTGGGGGAGTGAACCAGTGAGTGAAAGATCTGTTTCTTCTTGTCCATGTAAATCTGCTTTTCCAATAAAAAGAAATAAATCTTTAAAAAGAGGTGTTCAAGTCCTAAAATACTGGAAGTCACCCCAAAGGCAGGGATTCAGGCTACGAAAATGGCTCTCCCTTATTCTGGTATAACCAAGACAGAAGGAAGTACAGGTGCAGTGGGGATGGAAAGAAGAGGAGAGGGGCTGTGCTTGCAATGTTGGTCTGCCTTGGCCCATCCCTTCACCCGTGGTCTTGCTCTGTCTCCCTGCTGGCCCTCAGGAGCTATCTGGTAGAGAAACTGTTACTCATGTGGTGGGACAATCTCAGAAGGAACACCAGTGAGGACTGAAATATTCAGGTCAAAACCTTCATGTCACAAGGGGAGCTGGATTTCTGTGGCTAAGGCTTTGCTTCTGATCCATATGGTTATTGGAGATACTGTAACACAGAAAACTGGTGTGTAGGTGAGGAAATTTTACAGAGACATTGCAGCTGGGGTTTCTGTCATGGGAGACATCTTAGGCCTGTTCTGATTGTAGCGAATCTCAGCTCTGTGCATTGTCCCCTGGAAGGCATGATGGCATTAATTCTTTTTCTGCAATGATTTATTTTTATTTGAAAGGTAGATTTTACAGGAGAAACAGGGCAGAAAGCAGCTACAGTTGCTCCCAAGCAGTGATTCCTTGCCCTAGAGATAGGGTTGTTTGAGATGGCCACGTAGCACACCTCTCCCAGGTAGTAGATACTGTGGAGATACATGGTCTGTGCTAACCACCCCCCTCTTTTCATCTGCTGTTTGGAGAGCCCCCTGCTAAGATGTATTTTCCGTTTGCTGGTTTACTCCCCAAATGCTAGTATGATCAAGTTTCCTGTGTGATGGGCTTCTTGGCCATGGAATGGACAAATAGAGATCAGGCTATCTCTATCACATTGGAAAAGAAGTATCTGTGAAAGGAACTGTAAGCAGCTGTCTCCAGCTCCCTTCTTTCCCCTGGGGACCACTATATTAACCCTTTCTAGTACTGGAACCATGACTCAGCAGGTCCCAGTGGAAAGAAGATACTTCCATGTGCTACGTCAGCAAAAGCGGATGCTCCTGGGATCAGGTCCCTACACAGTGAACCACTACTCAGGGCTGTATTGCCCTATGAGCTGGGTGTACTGTCCCAAGTCACCGGGGAACTCGGTAGTGGTCAGGCCTGTATTAGTTGTGATCTGCAAAGTCTAGTGTCCAGCTGGGTGATTGACCCAATACGGAGGAGCTCTGCCTGCATCTCTGCAGTGATAGAGACTTGAGCTATCAGGCTCCAGGGAAGCTGTGACCCTCCTCAACATCTGTAAAGTCAGAAAGGGTGACAGACTGGCATGACACCAGGACAACTATCTGTCAAGAGGAGTCGGGTGAAAGGATCAAATTGCCTAAGACCCATTGCCTAACCCATGATGGGAGTCACTTCCTCTGAGTTCCCATGGAACCCAACAAGTGCATCTGGGACAAGCCCCAGGCACGTGCCTGCATTCCCCACTTCTGCCACCCCTCATGTCCCAGCCATGGCTCTAATCCTGCTGGGATGTGGGTGACATTCTGACGGGCAATATCAAATGCCTGGGTCGCTGGGTCTCACGTCACCACAGATACTGGAGGATGCTAAGCAGCTCTTAGTAACACTGCTGTGGGAAATGCACGGTGGTACTCAGAGCCGATGTCTATCAACACACACAGCCCAACTGCTGCCTGCCCAGGACTCGGGAGCCAACCCTAATAATGACAGCAATAGAAAATGATCATGTGAGTACTTTCCTTTCTTTTTCCTTTCCCTCCCTTCCCTTCTCCTCCCCTGCTCTTTTTCCATTTCTCTTCTCCCTTCCTATCCCGTTCTCTTTCCTGTGCCTTGGAGATGGCCTAGAGACAGCCGTTGTGCAGGCTGGGGTCCCTAGAGGAGGTCTGAGGATTTTGCCCACCCACCCTGGTAAAGAGGAGCCTGAGGCTGTATTTGTTCCATGTAGGTGTACACAAAAGATAAGCCTGCCTAATCCAGTGAACCGGTTGAAGTCCTCAAACACCTTTTCAGAAAGCAAACAGGTAGGTATTGCTTTTTGCTCTCTCCATATTAAGGCAGACATGCTTTACTGACCTCCTATTTCAATTCTCTTTGCAACAGCTACTGGATCTCAGTATGTCACATGAAGCTGATCCTTAAAAAATGGATTATTGCTATAGGCAATTTGACCTACACTTAAGCTACCTTCCTCTATAGCAAGTTCCCTCGTCTGTAGCCACCCTGGCTAAAGCAGTCATGGACAATTGACAGGATTTAGAATAAATATTTGTCGGTCAGGGAACAGTAGGTTAGGTTCCAGATTCTGAGGTCCTGAGAATGTGACACCCATAATACCCCACTAGCCTTGGAGCAGCAGGCTGCGGGTGGAAAGCCAAAGTTCTAGACAGGTTGTACTCATGGTATGCCAATATGCCAGTCTGGAAGTATGCGGATCAGGGGCCTCACGGGTCCTAGGCAAGCCCCTCCCCTGGTACAACAATGTGCCAGCCTGGGAGCAGGCAGGCTGGGGTCTCATGGATTCCAGGCAGGCCGCACACACAGCATGCCAGCATGCTGCTCTGGGAGCAGGTAGGTCAGGGACCTGATGCTGGGGTCCTAGGCAGAGAACTCACAGAATCTAGGCAGGCCACATCCACAGTGCAGCAACTTGCTGGTCTGGGAACATGAAAGCCCCATTAGCTCCACCAGTACTAGACAGGTTGTAGCTGCAGAACACCGAAGCATCAGGCTGGG